ATTTTGGAAAAATGTTGGGTATGCAATTTTGTAGCTCATTAAATGTTACTAGGTTAAAGTGCAAATTTCAAGACGCTAGAAAATCGCTTTGATTTTTAATAATTTTTTTGGCTGATGGTGCTAAATAGGCATTTTCTCCCATACAAATGACGTTGTGGAGCATATTTTCTAAAAATTCTAAATAAATAATTTTAAAATTTTGGGGTGCAAATGTTACATACCCAAATTTTCTTCTAAAAACTCTGAATAAAAAGTTTAAAATTTTCGGGCGCAAATTTTACATACCCAAATTTATTCTAAAAACTCGAAATAAAAAGTTTAAAATTTTTGGGTACAATGTTAAAGTTTGTTGAATTTGAATTTACGTTGCGCTGGTTAGGTAAAGTGCTAAACTTTTATATAAAAATATATACATCAAATAAACAAAAATAAATAAATAAATAAAATAGCCAAAACTAGTCAAAATGTCACTTGACTTAATCAGCTGACAACAAGTGTAGTCACTTTAAAAAAATTAAAATTTGCGTCAGCTGAGATTCGAACCGGGGTGCTCAGTTTTGTTAGGCGAATACTCTCTCTGCGTGCCAACGCCGCACATAAAATTTCATTGACTAAGTGCGTACATATCATTAAATCGTTAATAGTACCCGTTAGAGATGAGTTGAGGACTAATTGATCTCCAATTATACCCAATAGGGGATGAGTCGAGACTAATTGATCTCCATTAGTGCCCGTATGAGACTAGTTGCGACTAATTAATGCCCAATTGTACCCGATTGAGAGTAATCTCGGAATACCTTTGCCACGCACTGGCGAATCATGGAAGGATGTGACTTGATAGGGGCTTACTTGATAAGTACATACCCATTGGGGAAAATCTCAAGTTCTGAACTGGTGCGCTTCTAGTACATTGTACATAGAAAAAAGCAGAACGTAAGCGAGATTTTCAAGCATGTAATGACACGGCCGGTAAATTTCGATGCCTGAAGTTCAGGGTTACCAAATCTCATTTAGGCCACGCACTGTGTTGCGGCTAGTGGAAAAGTAACTTTTTCCCGATTATTTTTTTCAGTGTTTTTAATGATGCAATTTTGTCACAGACATTCCAAGTAAACAAAAAACACATAAAGCTTATTTTTATGTTGGCCCGTTGATTTTTAATTGATTTTAGAAGTCAAATATACAAAATTTTCACGAAAAGAGGGGATTTCAGGGCTGTATTCAAAATGATCTCATTTGATTTTGGTGACAGATATTTTGATTCGGAAAAAAAATCTGCCTTCGGACAAGTATCTTCTGTAAAAAAAAGGAATATTGTTTGAGACATTTTCATATGCACCTTTTTTAGAGCGAAAACCCGACTAAAGGTCCATTTTTCCTTTAAATTTGGGTTAGGTAAGCAATATCTAAAAAGTCCCAGAGAGTCCCAGTTCCAAACCACTACAGAAATGTTACATAATTTGTTTTCAACGAACTGTGAAAAAATCAGCTGCCCATACCTGCCCTCCTGGGAGTTATAGCGATTTTAGTATATCACTCTCAGTATTTATTCCATAGAAATAGAACGGAAATTCTCGGAATCACTTATTGAATAATTTAATCATATTGGTTTTCGGGTGACTTTCCGTCATCCCACGTCAAATTTTTATTATTTTCAGACCGGTTTCGGCTAATCGCCATCTTCAGTGTTTTCTTTTTTGTCACTAATTAGTCCGCATGTGTGTCTAGCACTCCACAAAAATGAGCATAACTCTCTTAAAACTGAAGCTATTGACTTCAAACCGGTATCAAATTAAAGCTTTTATTGCCACCTTTCAAATAGGAAATGAAATAGATTTTGGTTTTATATAAAATTTCAGAGTTTTTCAACAAATATCGAAAAATCATGAAAATTTGACGTTTATAATTCTTGTTCGGACCACCCTATAGTTTATTTAAAAAACTAATCATAGGGTATTTATCAGAAATAAAAGAACAATTAAAATAAACTTTTTTTGTAAATTTTTCGAACAATTTTTTTTTTTTTTTGACTTTTGTTGAAAATTTGACCCAACAATTTTTTTCGGTGTAAATTTTTTTTTCACTCATTCTGTTTGGGATTTCATTCTGACCAATCTGTAGAAGTTTCTCATCGATACAATTAAAATTACAGTTTAGGCAATATGATTTCCAAAAAATTCCGGTTTCGCAACACTGTGCCACGACGATTTAGGCGGGTTTGCAACTGGTCTATGGGCGGATGGCAAAAACATCGACGACCTGTATTTAAGTATGTATGTATGTAAGTATATGATTGAATACTTATTACAATGAATGTACATACATACGTATGTATATAAATACTAGTTATAATCCGCATACTAATTTAAGTATTTCATAAACATTTTGAGGATACTTGATCATTCCATACAAACATATTTCCAATTTTTTTAGGTAGCACTCGTTTTATTATCCCGTTAAATTGTAATATTTATTAGGTCATTCATGCAGCTTAAACACATAAAGATAGCTATTTTACATACATACATATATGTATGTACATAAGTATTTATGTTTGTATAAACTACTGCAGCTACACTTAGACGCGATTATACAAATGTACATAGTATGTAAATTAGGGTGGTCCAAAAATGCACAGGAAAATCAACTTTTCGGAACTTTTTTACTGGGTAGTTTCTACTGGTAACTAGTAAAAAAATTTAGTTAAATTTGCATCGAAAAGCGTAATATTTTTATTCGATGAAAAAATATTTATTTTTAATTTCAATTCTATGAAAAAATTTATTTCCCAAATATAAAATATATGGGGCCCGGCGCCAAAAATACTAGAAGCGGACTAGCAAATTGTGGAAAAGAAATCACTTATGCAGATTCATAGCAAAATATTTAACTAACCAAATTCAAAAAGAATTTTTTTGATAAAAATGCCTATTGTCAGCCATGGGACGAACTTAAGGTAGATACAATGAAAAAATAGATTTGTATGTGAGAAAAAATATTTATTCTGTCGCAAGTAATTTAAAATAATTTTTCTACTAGCTAATTTATAGGCAGTTTTTTAAATATATCTGTGGTCAAACACTGCTTCTAATTTGAAACTGAAATTCATAAGACAGTTTTACTTGAAATTCTACAAAATTTGTTCAGTATAAAGTGAGCTGAATTCTTCCTAGCACAATTAAATGCTATGTCATATTTAAAATAGTTCCAGCTGCGGAAGCTGCAAGTTTAGCTTATACATATGTATTGTTCCTTTAACAGACAGAACCCCTGTACAATTTATTGCACTTTTATTGTATAGCTGAAGGAAAGTCCTCTGCAATATAAAATTGAAATGGACGGAAGTGTATACATATATTCATGACTCGCATGTGGATTAATCAGATTTAGCATTTAGCCAAAAGTGGACGCTTCTGTGGACGAGATCCGTTTTCGATGGCAAAAGTCCTGCTTGCATTAGCTCAGCTCTTGTTGCATAAAATGTAGGTAGAATTGAAGGTTTCATGCAAATACATGCCATGCACATAATTTAGTATCCATGTATCTATTGTAAATGTTTTTTTTTTTGTCATTTTTAAAAGGAAGAAATAGGAACTACTTTAGAAATAAAATAAATGTGTTAGGTAATTTTACCCAAAATGCATAAAATTTAGTGCTTGAAGCCAAAAAAGTTTTTTACGAGGTGGGCGTCATAGTAAGAAATTCTTCATTAAATATTGCCCAAATTAGGATATTTTAAAATAAACGAGCAGGGCATACCCAATTTCATTAAAATATAATCATTTAACATTTGCGCCTTTCTTTCTTTAGAGTTTGAGAACGTTAATATTAACCGATTTTGATGTTATTAGAGATATATTCTTTTCTGATTAAAGCCAGCATATATATACTCTGAATTTCATCAAAATCGGATAACATTTACCATTTCCCTATAAAGAGCTGTGGGTGTGGCAGTGCGTCCACTTTTACAATTTTCCACACTTCTTCATTTCTAAGTGCAGAATAGTGCATATACGAAATTTCAGCGAATTTGCAGTGCGGTTGGTTAATACTTTTAGCCGCAACTATATGGAGCCGGCACGGTTAAATGTTAATACCAAAAATCTACCACCCTATTGCAAGTAGGTATTTACTAGGGCCCTGCACGATTATATATAACAAGTGACAGGTTAAAATAAATAACCACTACCAACAAAATTTTTACCCAGAAACCAAACTATACTTTTGCGAAGATTTTCGATACGCTAAGTCTAAATCTGGGCTCGAATCGTCACACACGATATCGCACTACTCGTCACGTAAAAACACATTTTTCGGATTATAACATACGTGAACATAATCTTTGTCCCATTCAGCTTACACTGCCTGACGTATCACGTAATTTTATTTCGTATCGTTTTCGATCCGTGAACTGATGTTACGAATCGAGCCCTGGCCGCAGAATTGCTCTGTCTGTTATACCTTAGCGAAGAATCAGCGCATAAAAGTAGTCAGCATTCTGGGTAAGGAGGTTGGTCTCATATCGTTGGCCTAATAATACTCATGCCGGTATAATACTGATGCCGATGCGGCGAGGAAACGATGCGTAACGGTAAACTTGGCATCGTTGATTACACTGGTTTACAGCAAAAATGTTCAACGGATGCCACTATCCAATTCCTATATAGAACTGCTCGCTGATTCCGAAAGTCGAGTTAATTTTTTCTTCTATGGATAAGTTTTCGAGATATTTTATATTTATCGTTACTCAGCTTAAAACAAAAAGTGGTGCCACTTAATCACGTATAACTTACGAACCAATGTAACAATCTTAGAGAAATTCTATATAAATCATATATACAGTATATTTTGCTTAGCTGCCCATCCTTCTTTGCACGAAAAATTTGTGCGCTTAACCGAA